GCCGTCTGAGGGTGAACTCCTGTGCTTTCTGTAGTGAGCTGCTGTCACCAGTACATTCTCTCTTCCACAGTCTCCCCAGTGAACGCTGCTCAAGTGATGATTAACCAACAGGCTGTGATTTCAGCCCGTTTTAAGTGGTTTGTGCCCCAGGCAAACCAAAGCAGAAGATTAAAAACACTCCTCCCAAATGGATTAAAAACACAGTTAAGTGACCATCTTTGAGGTCACTATAGCAATAACTAATATCTTTATATATACATATATAAAAGACTTCAGACAATCCTCCTCGAGAGGATTACTCCAACACTTTTGACTTCAGAGAGACTGAAAGCGATTCTACTAAGAAAGCAGCTTTAACCAAAACCAGAACTCACCTCTCAGCCAATGAGAAATAAGCTTTTTAAAAAACTTGTAGTTCCTAATAGTTATATGGGCCTTAATCCTCTTGGAAACAGTTTTAGGTCATTATTCCGGGAGTTATTAGGTTGGAAAACAGCTTCTAGGCAAATGATGCTATTCACAAACCTTTTACACCAGAAATAATGGTTGGATTATTTCTGCCTCAAAAGTAGTCTTGAGGTCTGATTTCTGATTTTCTTTATTTCTGGAGTTCCTGAGCAAAAGCACTGCTACTTGCTGTTAAATAATAATGCTGAACAATTTAAGCACAGGGAAGTAATTTTATAGGTATTCTAATGGCAGCAATGAGAGCAACTTTGGATTTTAAAATAATATTTTTGACCTCCTTGTAGCTCCTAACTTTCACTGCTGTTATGTGTGTCCTGCTGCATGTTTCCAACGGCATGTGACTGTTCAGATGCTTCCCCAAAATACCAGTTTCAAGGGCCTTTTAAACACCTTGATTATATCTCGATTATTTTTCCTCACATCATCTGCAAGGTGATTCCTTTTCCACGTGTCTCACAACAGTAGAGAAAAACAAAATATAAATATAAATAAATAAGAAGATGCTGAGGTCTGTTTCTGCACAGCCGATCAGAGGAAGATGAGCACACGCGTTTGAGTACGGGAGCGCCCCTATTCCCAGGGCTTTTGCAAAAGGGCCTGCTGTTTCCACCAGGACATATGCCTTGCCCTCAGCTGTCGGTGCTCTGCAGAGCAGGCCAGCTGAGGAGTCACCGTGCGGCTGAGCAGACAGCGCAGGCATCGGCCAAGCAAAATCCTCCTGTGCTTGCATACTCAAGAATTAGCCATTAAATCCTCCTCTAGAGCAAGTAAATGACAAACAGGGAATTCAGGGCTGCCTCCCCTCAGTCAGCTTCCTTTTTCTATTTCAAAAAAATAACACCGTGTTATACTTGAATCTTCAGCAACAAATAGATATTTAAAAAGTCATTAACAATGGAATCGGATCTTTTTCTTCTGTTACATTTTCTTTGTCTCCCAACTCTCACACATGCAATAAAAATAAATAATAATAAAAAAAGAGTTACCACGGAGCCAGATGACGTTGACTTTGCAATCCTGACACCATTTACTTAGTTGTGCAGGTCTAGCTCATTTAACCCGTGTCTAAAAGACCGTGGGGTTTGCGCCCACCCAAAGTGGCGCCTGCGGCTGGCACCCTGCAGACCTGCACACACCTCTGCCCACCCCGTCAGCATCTGCTCTCGAGGGCTTTTAGCCACCCCTCCAAATCCGGCCCAGAAGCTTTAATATGCCTGATAACTGCAACCTGTACCCTGAGTTATTTCTTCACGTAAAAATAAGCATAGATTCTCCTGAAAACCTGACCGTTTCCCCATTTCAAAGTGAAAATGATAAGTAGAACAGAAAAAACACATCATCACCAGTAAGTCCACAGACATTAATCAGTGCTATGCTATGAATACTCCTTCCTTCCTTTTCATGCAGGCCCAAATACTGAAACCCCAATGGCAATTTTTACCTGAGTAATGACCTCAGAATTTAGCCCCTACCACTTTCCACATGTAACTGCGTAAGCCTGTCAACCATCCACAATCTTTCCCTTTTCAAATAAAATAATTCAATCAGAACCTCAGAAGCCTTGTTGTAAACTAGTTATTAGTAAATTCATGTCCTTTAATTCTTACCCCAAAGGCAGCAATTCTATTCTTTGCAGAACACGGGAGTCATACCTTGAAGTAAAAATTCAGCATCATAAAAACTGCAGCGCAAATAAAGAGCAACAGCATCTCTTACTAAATGCTTCACTGAGGAAGTGATATCACAGAATCAGGTGGCATAAAGGATTCTGTGGTATCACTTTCTGAAGTATATTAAAAATGTATTAATTTGCCTAGATGGGATCATCATCATTATTGCTCAGGAAAATTACAAAAAAAAAAAAAAAGGCAGACAAAAAAGGCCTTTTGAGGTAATCGAAAGTTAAAGAGATGTAACATAATTAAAAAGAAGAAAAGAAAAAAAAATGTTATATTTGTTCTCCTTAGTTATATTAGGAATAAAAACAAAACTAATGTAATAATGTATCCCAGCAGTTCAAATCTTCTAATTTATGTAGAATGGATTATTACTTAGACAATCTGACCCTGGGCAAAACTTCCTCAGTTGAGAAGATTTACAATCTAATTATGCAGGAAGTTCTGCTGAGACAGTTTGGGTGCAATGGTCTTCTATTACATTAGCTTAGCTAAAATAGCTGCTTCTTTACTTGCTTGGTGTTCCACGTACTCACATGAGAAGAGAAAAAAAATATATTTCATTCGCATTCTTTATTTCCTTTTAGTTTTTTTCTCACTGTTACCGTGTGCAGAAGCGCTCATCCGCCAACTGCAAATAGCAGCAATGGACTTAGGCTGCTAATGGCAAAGCATGAGTTGCCTTTCAGGCTTTTGCTTTGGTCCCTGTTTAGCAAACTGACTTTAAAAGGACCATCAAAGCGCTCTTCATAATTTTTACAATGATTGTAGCGGGGTTATTTCTCCCCTCCTTTATTGTAAATGCTGCCATAGAAAGCCTGAAGCTGAAATCTGTTTCGGTATACTTTCCTCTTCATCCTGCATACGCAAAGCTAGTTTAGTTTTTTGTAGGGTAGCTCAGAGATGTTTTGCCGCTGCCTCTCTCACCTGAATATTTTTAGTGATATATTTCATTAGATCGGAAAAGATCCCTCAATACATACAGAAAAAGCGAGAGCTTTACAAGTCTTTAAATTTTATAAGAGAATACAGGGAAAGATATCTTTTTCACTAGCTGTACTGTGGAGTGTTGATATAGTTGAATATGTAGACTTGTATTAATATAGCTGGGAAAATTGGTCCTTTTTTCTTTACAGTGAGTGTTTTGATTTCAAAAGGTCAACAGATCATGTCACAGCCGTCAGTCTTGATAATTATCATGTGTAGTAATGCACATTTTTTATCTACAGGTGGCAGACCTTTTAAAATCATCTTCAATCAAATTCATTATAAATTTTTGTTGATACCACCACCCACATTAAAAAGTAAGGATCTGTAGCATAAAGTCCTCAATTTAGAGGACAGACGGGTCAAAGCAGTGGCTCACTTGCACAGGCTAGTGACCCTTCTCAGAATGAAAGGCTTAAGGAAGAACAAAAACAAGGAAAATAAAAAAATAATAATAAATTTTAAAAAAAGTTGCCTGGCACATGGTAAGTTTTTGTAAATCCTCCACTCACCCCCAAAATCAGCTAGCAACTCAAGAGGAAAAAAGAAGTCTTTCACTAAGTATAAAGTTTCACTTCCTTGATTATTAAGCACTGACTGCTAGATTAGCGATTTCTTGTTTGATAAGATTACTTAGAAGAGGAAGAAATGCAAGAATTTCACAACTGACTTCTGGTAGTTAAAAAAAAAGAGAAAAGCAAATCATAAAACTCTTTGTATATATATATATAAACCAATTATTTTAAATGCCATGATTTAGATTGTGATCTCCAAGTGTTAAGGCCTCACTAGGAAGGAAAACGGTGATTCACACCACAAAATCTTCTATCAGTGTGCTAACCCTGCATTCAGAATGGCCCACTGTGTGTGCACATCTCCATATGGACATGGAGAAGGCTATCCCATGGTTATTGATTTTACTTCTAGCTGAGCCTCAGTCCTTAGATACATTTGGCCTAGTTCTCAATGGCCTTCCAAACCTTCTCCTTTCCCTTGAAAACTACTCCAAAGCATCCAGCTGGATTTAGATTTGCAATGTGGTAGCATTTTCCACTCCAGCCATCACACCAGAACACAATGGTACAACAGAAACCTGGTCAGAGGTAGGTGAAGACCAACCCAAGGATAAGGTCATTGCCCTCAAAAGCATTTAACACATCCCACTTCTCCAGAAATCAATGACAACAAGCTCAAAGGCACACTTGTCTTTGAAGGCCTAATTCTGCAAACATTTGCTATTGAGGACAGATTAAGCACAAAGGCTACAATGATCAAGCAAGGCAGAACTGCAGATTTACAGCTGAGTCACCTGCCAGGCCAATGGCAACCTTTAAGTGACTTGCCCTCCATCTGCTCTAAGTGTAAAAAACAAATGTTGTTTTAAAAAGCATTGGTAAAAACATAGTGTTTAAAATAGGTATCGATCTTTGTTGATCCCAATCGGATATTGCACGTATACCCAGAACTTTATAGTAATTTGGAGATAAATGTTATCTTGCCAATAAACTTTAAAAAACAAACAAACAAAAAATAGAACACCCCAAATCTTTCAAACACATCTTCCTTAGGTTTTAAAGACTTTAAAACAAAACTGCAAAACAGCCTTAAGGAACACCAGAAAGTATAGCTCAACTTTAAGTACTTAGAGTGGAAATACATATGCTGGAGAATATCCTTATTTACTTACTGATATGCTCCCTCCTCCTCCTTCTCCCCAGTTTAAAAGTGGGTGAGAAAAATTATGTCTTTTGTGGTAGCCTAGTAACCTCCTTTTTCTCAACAAGCTCTTCCTTCATGCCACATTCTCCCATACCATGAGCCCTCCAAAGTAATTGCAGTTATGTCTTTATAAGGCTCTGTTTTTCCTACCCAGTGCAGAGGAGTTGGGGTTATTTTCAATCTTCGGAAGCTGGTAAACAGGATCAAACAGGAACCAGGTCATCAGAATGAGGAAGGCTAGAATATAAAAGCAAATGCATATCAACAATTTTATTTTAAAAAGAAAACGCACCCAAAACATGAAACAAAAGCCTGGGCTCTGCTAGACATTCCCCCCTCCCTATTCCTTTTCATTTAGTTCATGAACTCTTTTTTGCAGGAGAGAGGCTGGTGTAAATTAATGTGTGACCCAAAATATATCACATGTAAAAAGCTGCCGTAGAAATATGTAGTGGCATAAATAAATAAATAAATAAATAGACATTATTAGGAGTAGAGTGGCACCTATTATCATCATAAATCAATACGAAGCTCAAACTGGCAGACAGATGCAACCACACATTCCCGTTCTCTCACGTGTTGCAAACACCCAACCTGCACTAATCAATCCTGCTTTTCCACCTTCAGCATCACGCTCGTGCTTGCCAGGACGTTCCGCACGGGCAGCGGGATGGGGAAGGCAGCAAGAAGCCCTCACGCCTGGCTCTGCTCCTCAGTGCTGCCCTGTGCCTAGGAGGGTCATCCACAGGCTTCACCCCGCGATCCGGAGCCATCCAGGGACATGAGAGTCAGGGCCTGATTTTGCACCAGGCCGAGGGAGTGGGGTTTCACTCCGGCCACAACTACAGACCCCAAAGTGGAGATACCCAACCAAAATCTGAAATCGGTATTAAAATACAAAGCCAGACACTTTCTGCACTGGTTTAACCTGACAGAGTAACTTTGCCAGCCTCACAGCTCTGATAGACAAGACCAGCGAGAACAGAGTGGAACAGAAAGTTTCAAGAGTCGACCCCGGTTCATACTGAGCTCTGCATGCAAGCCAAGCTTCGTGAGAATAAAACCTGACTCTGTATTGTTTTTGAGCAATCAACTGATCAGACGTGCATTTTCTATATTTTTGTATGCAAGTTTCCTGAAATGTGAAATCGTGCTCTTAGCAAGGTTAGTAGCTCTATGGGCTTTTTCAAATAAATGTTTGTTTAAGGAAGAAAATAAAAAGAATGTCAAGATCCATAGGACCTATCAGACTACCTGGTTAACAGTATCTCAAAGAACCAGCAAATATAAACAGCTGAACTTGTATTGGAATGGTTATCTTATTAAGCATTCCTCAACTAATTAGCACCACATAAAATTTATCCTTTATCTTCCTTCCCTAACCAACACATTATTAATCCTATGGACACCCACGGGAGGCAAGGAGCACACGAGCCCCACTTCAGTCATTCGTTCCTCCTTTGGATCAGTCCTCAGAACAAGCACAGAGGCCAAAACCAGGTAACGGCAGGTGAGGAGCAGACTTGGTCAGAGTAATCAAACCCTGCCATGCCTTTATTCGTCTTGCCCTGCAGCCTAGAAACAAGGCACATTTGCACCTGCTGCCCATCCTGTAAGCAGAATTACAAAGAAAAAGTAATATTCATTAATTTTTGTTGCATTTTCTGCTACAGCCTTTGATCGCTGAGATCATTTGCTCAGTCTTGAGCCATGGACATGTCTGTGCCATTTACTGACTCCTCTTTAGTCAACTTGGGCGCCCTTCCCATAATTCAAGACATAAGCTCCCCCAGCCTCCTCGCTTTTTTTTTTGGCTCTTTCTACTTGCCTTCAGCATCTTCCACACCTACACCCTAGTCTCTAATGAAGTGCAGATACGACAGGTTAACAGCAGTAGATACAAAAAATATGTGGAACAAGGATGTCACCAGACTAGTTTACAGCAGCATGCCCCCAGTTTATTCCTAGACAATATATGTAAACATTATTTTTCCCTCTTTCTAATTTTATCCGCATAAATCTTGGCCTGCCTGCCAGGCCCCACTGAACATGCTTCAAAAGGCTTGCACTGTCCTTCGGAGGATCTTAAATCTTAATATTGGTGAAAAGGGCAGATCAGCAGCCTTCATGGCAAGAGCCCTGCCTCTGGCACCAGTCTCAGACAACGCTGGGCACCATCTTCCCCACACGACCGGTGGATGGGATGCGGATAAGGCGCTCCCATAATCTCGCACAGCCTTTCAGATATAGAACATGGCAACTACAAGCACCTCTTGGATCTTTCTCGGGGCTAAAACCAAATACCCAACCCACCACACAACACACACAAAACCCAGCCGCTTACAGTCACCGTGACTCACATTTCTCCTCTCTTCACCCGTGCGGTGGATAAAGCTGCTTCCAGTGCACCGTAGAGAGCGGAACGAAACACTGATATGAGTTTTTCTGCTTAATCTTTCATTTTTACATGAACTTCCTAGGCTTATGGCTCTTGGTTCTTAATTTGTGAAGTCTTAAGCCTGCCCATTCAGATTGAGGAGAATTAGCAGAGCAGCATTAAAGGGCTTGGGTTGCTTCATCTTCTGTGCTACTAGTCTTTAGATGAGGTCTTCGGCATCTTGGGCAATCTGGCAAATTTTTATCCACATTTGATTTGATGAATGATAAATTTCCAAATTGAATGTATATAAAAAAAAAATAATTGCTTTTTAAAGTTCTGTTGTCTTCAGAAAAGATCCTTCGACTTTGAAATGATGGGTTCTTGTTTCACCAGCCAAAATGTGATCACTATATGGGTCTTTCAGAATGCTTTTGATCAGGTGAAGTAGGAAGAATCAGAAGCTTTGGTTATTTTTCCTACACCAAACCAAAACAATCAAAAACTATTCTAAACAAAGAGTTAAAAAAAAAAAAAAAAAAAAACTGCTAGAAAAATACCAAGAGGCTTATGCAAAATTCCTCCTCACTGGCTACCTGTTCGTAATCCATATGGTTAAGGAATAAGAGACAAGTCTGACTTTTTTTTTTTTTTTTTAAATCTATTTGCCTACCAGAGTCATTTATCCCCTATTAGATAAAGTATAATAGACTATACCGAAAGGGTCACTGGCCTTCCATTTAATGATATTGCCAGCACCAATCTACATTTTTCCGACAGTGTCCCTCAACACAGAATAAATGGCTGATCTCTTCACAATAACAGCTGATTTCTATTTATTAAGCTAAAAAGGTCACCATTTTCTACGGCTGGGCCGCCCTGCACTATTGATAATTTTATGCATAAACAAATGGCAAATTTGTGCCACATAAATATGCATTAGCAATTACTTTTTCCTCGGGCAACGCTCGCCGCATGCAAATGTGTCCCTCACAGGGCCTGGTGGCTTTTGTTTTAGCTCTTGAACAGCTAAACAAAAGAGCACAATAAACAGTTTAAAAATTGCCAATCAATAGGAAATGCAAATGGCAAAGGTAAATGGCAAGAAACTTGCCCAAACAAATAAAACTGAACCAAAAAAGCAAAACAAGAATCATAGAAAAGAAAAAAAAAATCCATAGAAGGACTCCCTCTTCTCTCCTGAAATACATATTTTCACCTCTAAATTTTACTTCTTTCCTGTCTGGTATGGAGAAAGCTAAGGTACTACTCGCACTGCAACAGTCAGGTTGGTACTAAAGCAGACAGCAGAGAAGGGAATGCAAGAAGTACACATAGGCTGAGGAAACACTGAAAAAGACCCACACTCTGATGTGAAGGAAGGAGGCAAGAGAATCTTATCTGAGAAAAGACATAGTGGTTTAGCTTTCTGGGATTTTACACTGCCATCACTGATTAATTTATTTATTTTAATAAAGAAAAGCTACAGCTTCTTTTAATAAAGAAAAAGTTGCTGGAAAAAAACTCAACAAATGAAACGCTTCTCTACACGCCAGTGTGGGATTCTATTAATGGCAGTGCACAGAAAACACCAACCTCTCCGTGCCTCCGCACAGACAGCTATAGCAGCAACCTAATGCATATTGGCACCTGAGAAAATCAAGCTCCATCCTTCACTTCAAGGACATGGTCCTTCCACCATAATTGCACCTCATTTTACAAATATTTAGGAAAAAGATAAACTTAAAACTTTGAGCTTACCTTTGAAAATATAATTATTTTGACAGAAATTGAAGAGATTAATCATGTGCTTCAAGCATTTGCCAGGCAGAGGTTGCAATACAGCAGGTAACCTACACAAACTAATTTCAAAACTATTAGCAGCAATGTTTAAGTTTTAATGAATGGGAAGGTTATCATCAATGTAAAAATTCAACAGCAATCCTAAGTTTCTTCTACTCAGCCAGCCTTCAAAAGTTGCATGAATTATACTATAATTAACAACCTAATAAGCATGCTTTTTTCTTTAAGTCAGTTAATTTCTTGCCTTTTGATTTTCTTGTTTTGTGGCTTGAATAGTTTTATAACACCACTTTGGAGTATGACTTCTGATAGAGGCTGATACAGGGGATAGCAACTATCTTGCCAGTATTAATTTGTTTTAACCACTCTCATCCTAAAAGCACACTTGTATATCGTCAAGTATGGGGAGAAGCTATACCAACCATAGAAAAAAACATATCCTCACAAAAGAAAGTCATAATTTCAGACTTATATCCAGCAGCACTCCCACGCCAATAGCACATTTCAATCACAAAACCATAATCTTTAAAACCTCTAAATGCCAATTCATAGGACTATCCTTACAACAAGCAATACAGATATGGAAACAAAACTCCATCAACCCTTTTTTTGCATCCATCCCTCCATTTTTTTTCTTTTTCTTTCTCATTATCACATACACACACACACGAGACACTTAAGAGCATCATTTGTGCAGCACTCTCTGCTTTGGGAGGTAAAGGGTACATATCCCAAATTGCACACACTCAACAGGGAGCCTCTTCAGCCAGACACCCTGCCATGGAGCTACTGGGCAGCTGCTATTCCAACATGCCCATGGAGCCAAGGGGCGTCCACCTGATTGCAGCACCGAAGTGACACCTTGCAAAACGGTACGAACATTTCTGCAACGCTAAATGTGATCGAAAGACCCATGATTATACACAAAGTTCTCCCAAGGTCGACAACAGAGTAGGAAAGGCATGAGCAGGTATGCTAAAGCAACATCAAATAAATTGTTTAAATGTCACTGCAAAGGTAGTTCTCACGAATGTCTCTATGGCCAGGCTACTGCCAT